AAATCACCTCTAATTGATTGGCTAACTTCATATCTAAAACGGTCGGCATTTTATAGTCATGTTTAACTCCACTTTCTCTCAGGCTATGGAATGTCCCCGAGGGTTCATTGCTAGGATTTCTTTTCTTGATTTATATCAGCGGACTTACTACTTTTCGCTGATGATGTGAAACCTTGGAGAGAGACACGCAACCAAGAGAATACACTGGCAGTTCAGGATCATCTGACTAGACTTCAAAGCTGGGCAGATGGCACCGGACTTACCTTTAACAATTCAGTGTAAAGTGGTCCATCTGAAACATGTTGCAGATTACAGCTACGACTAAGGCGACGACTTGAAGTCTCACGCTAAGTATGATGAAAATGCCTTTCGAGCAAACCGTGCACTGGTAACATTTAGGCGCATTTTTGGCCAGTTTGACAGAAGGAATTTCCACATAACCTTCAACAGTTTGATTCGTCCCCTTTTAGAGTACGGAAACATAGTATTTCCCTCTCACTCCAAAAGGATAAGGTCACTCTGGAGAGTATCCAACTTCTATTCCTTAAAAGTTGTCAAATGCTGGAATCTACTGCCTGCTGAGCTATTCCAATCGATTTTTCAGGAGTCCTTTAAGAGGAAACTTGACTAAGGATAGTGTCTTACTATGATTTATCAATTTCTTTTTCTTCTTTTATGGTTGGTATACCTCGGTTCCTGCCTGGAGGTGTTTGTGATCCGTTGCTGCTAGACACAGGAGCCCGTTAAGCGAAAGCTTCTTTTATTTCTTCTGCAACAATTTGAACCATTTTGAAGTTAAACATGTTTAATTACCGTTAGTGTATTTCCTTAACGAAAAATGCCGTGAAGATGTACATTTTTCAGTCTCCCGATTTCGGTTCACGGATAAGTCAGTTGTTTTAAAACAAAACATGGAGGTTTTGAACCCTATTTGGAAGGATAAGTGGGATAAGATGTCTATCAAGGCTTTCATCGAGGGTTTGTTGATCAGTCGCTTACTTCAACACAAACGACTTCCCTGCTACTGAATTATGTCCTAGCTCTAGATTATGGAAGGGTGTGCTAACATTTTGTCGAACAACTACGTAACCTCGTTTAAGGAAGTCTTTTTGAGGTTTTGGCGGGTCCGAAACACAATAAATATGCAACTCAGATGTAAAGTATCTGGCTAACTCCCATGGTTGTCTCGGCATTACAATGAGAAGCCGTGCATGTTAATCAGTTATGTCATGCTCGCGAATGTCAGCTTCTGCATAGTCGAACCAGGCTTCGATGTTTTTGAGACTAGCATGACATGGAGTGAGAGCTTCAGGACGCCATCGTCTTGATTTGAATGAGCCAAGAATTGCGATCCGACATTATGAAGATAAGACACGAAGTTGCAGCACAAAAATACAAAAACACATAATTATCATAATCTGCCAAATAATCTACATATTAAACGTTACAATAATTAAATTAATTTCATATTTCTTAGTCTATCAGATCACCTCGAGGCTTATCAGTGTGAAGAATAGGCGATACTTAGAATTTCCTAATGCTAAGACGTATGGGTTATTAACAGCTAGCTTTCCCATTCTTATGGCTTATATTCGCATCGACTTAAAATACATTTCACTTACTGAATATTACTAACTAACGCCTGTTACTCCTAATGGAACATAGGCCGTCGACCAGAATTCTCTAACCCACCCTGTTCAGAGCCTTCCTTTTTAGTTCTATCCAATTTTTGTTCATTTTTCTCATGTCTGTCTCCGTTTCTCAACGTAATGTGTTCTTTGATCTTCCTCTTTTCCTTTGGCCTTGAGGATTCCATATGTGGGCTTGCCTTGTGATGCAGTTGGGTGCGTTCCTCAATGTGTGTCCTATCCACTTCCAGCGCTTCTTCCTGATTTCTTCCTCCGCTGGGATCTGGTTTGTTCTCTCCCATAGTAGTTTGTCGCTAATAGTGTCTGGCCAACAGATCCGAAGACTATTGCGTAGACAACTGTTAATAAACACCTGTATTTTCTGGATGATGGCCTTCGTAGTTCTCCAGGTTTCCATCCATGCAGTGGAACTGCCTTGACATTTCTATTGAAAATCCTGACCTTTGTGTTGGTTGACAGTTACTTTGAGTTCCAGATGTTGCTCAGTTCTAAATATGTTGCACTTGCTTTGCCGATCCGTGCCTTCACATCTGCATCAGATCCACTGTGTTCATCAATGATGCTGCCCAGACATGTAAAGGTTTTTACATCTTCCAAATCGTCCCCGTCAATTTTGATTGGATTGGTGCATGCTGTGTTGTATCGGAGAATCTTGCTTTTCCCTTTGTGTATATTGAGACCTACTGCTGCTGAGGCTGCTGCTACACTGGTCGTTTACTTCTGCATTTGTTGCTGCGTTTGGGATAGAAGGGCCAGATCATCTGCGAAGTCCAGGTCGTCCAACTGCATCCTAGATGTCCATTGTATACCGTGTTTCCCTTCAGATGTTGACGTCTTCATGATCCAGTCGATCACCAGGAGAAAGAGAAAGGGTGAGAGTAAGCAACTTTGCCTGACACCAGTCTTTATTTCGAACGACTCTGTCAACTGTCCTCAATGCACGATTTTGCAGTGTAATCCATCATATGAATTCTGTATGATATTGACGATCTTCTGAGGTACGCCGTAGTGTCGAAGAAGCTTCCATATTGTTGTTCTGTCCACGCTATCGAATGCTTTTTCGTAGTCAATGAAGTTGGTGTAGAGTGATGAATTCCATTCAGTTGATTGTTCCACAATGATCCGTAGAATTGCGATTTGGTCTGTGCACGATCTATCCTTACGGAATCCTGCCTGTTGGTCACGAAGTTGGGCGTCTACTCAGTCCTTCATCCTGTTTAACAATACCCTGTTGAGGACTTTTCCCGGTATTGAGAGAAGAGTGATGCCACTGTAGTTATCACAGTTGCTGAGATCGCCTTTCTTTGGTATTTTGATCAGAAGTCCTTCTTCCCAGTTTGTTGGTACTTGTTCCTCATCCCAAATCTTATTGAAGAGAATGTGGAGTATCCTTGCACTTGCCGCTACGTCTGCTTTCAGTGCCTCTGCTGGAACGTTGTCTGGTCCTGCTGCTTTGCCACTCTTGATTTGCCTGATGGCCATGCTGATTTCTTCAATTGTTGGTGGGCCAACATCGATTGGGAGGTCCGTGTGTGCTGCTTCGATGTTGGGTGGATTCAATGGTGCCGGTCGATTCAAGAGTTCTTCGAAGTGTTCTACCCACCTGTTTTGTTGCTCTTCAATGTTGGTGATTACGTCGCCTTCCTTGCTTTTCACTGGTCTTTCTGATTTGCGGTGATTTCCAGAGAGTTTCTTTGTCGTGTCATACAGTTGTCTCATGTTTCCTTCTCTTGCAGCCTTTTCTGTCGTCATTGCTAAATCTTCCACATATTTACGTTTGTCGGTTCTGATGCTCCTCTTCACTTGTTTGTTTACTTCTGTGTATTCAGCTTGTGCCTTGGCTTTTTCTGCTCTTGTTCGACTGGTATTGATTGCTGCCTTCTTGTTCCTTCTTTCTTGAATCTTATCCAGTGTATCGCCAGTGATCCATTCCTTGTGATGGTGCTTCTTGTGGCCCAAGACCTCATGAAATGTTGAAGTGATTGCTTCTTTGATCCCCTTCTAGTTGCTCTCCATGGTAGTTTCTTCTCCACTGAGTAGATCATGAAAGGCCTGGAACTTGTTGCTGAGGACTATCTTGAATTTGTTGAATTTGTCAGTGTCCCGAAGAAAAGCCGTATTGAACTTTTGTGATATTGTCCGCCCCGTTGTCCAGTACTTCTTGAGTTTCAATTTCATCTTGGCGACCAGCAAGTGATGATCTGATGCTATATCAGCTCCTCTCTTGGTTCTCACGTCTTCCATCATCCTCCTGAACTTTTTGTTGATGGTCGATTTGGTTTTGTGTTGTGTGATCCGGTGAAGTCCATGTGGTTTTGTGTGTGCGTTTGTGTGGGAGTATAGTTCAGCCTATGACCAGTTTATTGAAGCCACATAGGTTTGCAAATCTCTCACCATTTTCGTTCCTTTCTCCCAGTCCGTGTCGTTCCATGATGTCTTCATATCCAGTGTTGTCCACTCCAACCTTGGCATTGAAATCTCCCATCAGAATGGTCAGGTCCTTTGTTGGGCACTTCTCGATGATTTACTGCAGCCTATTGTAGAATTGATCTTTAGCGTCTTCGTTGTAGTCGTTGGTAGGCGCATGGCATTGGGTGATGTTCGTTGTAACGCCCTCTTTCTTTGTTTTGAAGGAGGCTTTGATGATCCTTGGTCCATGAGATTCCCATCCTATAAGTGCATTTTGTGCTTGTTTGGTCAGCATCAATGCAACTCCTTGTGTATGTGGGGCGTTTTCTTCTTCATGGCCGGAGTATATCTGGAGCTCTACTGAAGTTAGTCGTTGTTGTCCAACTTGCGTCCAATGTGTTTCACTGATCCCAAGCCCCTCTAGGTTGTATCTTCTCATTTCTACAGCAATTTGGAAGGCTCTCTCGATGTCCCACATTGTACGAACATTCCATGTACCTGAATAAATGGTTGCTCTGGTCGTCAGGAGGGGTGTTGGCCTCATAACTCCCGAAGGAATTCGGCTTTCATTATGAGGCGTCATAGTTCTTCTAAAAGAAGACATTCTGACTCCCAGGGCAGAGTTTAAAAGGTTTGAATGATTTTTTCTGTTTAGCGTTTTTTTAGCGAGTTATTTTTCTACGGGATGGGGACACTAACCGCATGCTCAACCCTCCTCCTATATCCGGGCTTAGAACCGGCAGTAGCCCCTGGTGGGACTCCAGGCGGAGTTTACTGAAGATCCTGTGAGGGATTTAAAAAGTCATTTTATGACACATTTTGAACATGTATGGGGTGGTTAATTATGACCAAACGTCTTGTCCAATCCAGTATAATTATCATTTTTATAATAAATTGTTTCGGTCTTGAACACTTATCTGATTAGCTGATAACTTGCTCAAGGTCGTCGATATGTTTTGATTTTACTATTCGGGACCGCTCTTTATTCCTTTCATCCTCATTTTTCGCAATTCCATATATTTTAGCATGTTAATCACACTCCGAAGTTTAAAACTACCTGTGGTCGTATTGATGTGTTTTTAGTGTGTAATTAAACCCCTAGTAAGTATTTGTCTCGTAAATGTAAATTTGACTCCATGTAGATGGTTCTCCCTCGTGGTCTACTGAAAATCCACGGTCGTTTCCTCCATATTTATGGCCGTGACATTCCATCCAATATCCCACTGCCCCCATACATCACTAATAAGGTTGACCTGACGCTATCTACAATAGCTGTGCAGAGTGAACGTAATATCAGTGAATGTAAACGAGCAGGTTCAATAATCCGCCAGATATTTAATGATCTTGAAAAGTTTATCAGACCGGGTTTGTCTACTCAAGATATTGATGATTTCGTATTTAATCAGTGTCTGAGTAAGTCAGTCTACCCATCGCCGTTAGGATATAAAGGTTTCCCAAAGTAAGTTTGTTGTTTGTAATTTTTACTTTCCATTCTCAGCTAAATTTCGAACTCCGCTTTCTAACAGCTAGTTTTCATAAATAGTTTTTTAGAGCAATAGATTTGTAACTTGTCAGCATAAATATTCATATTACTTGATGTGGGTTTTAATTATTTTGTATATTGAAAGTAGAAAAGTAATATATTGACGAAAAGGGGTTTCTGTCTCAAGAGATAGCTTATTCAAATGTTTTTCACATGAGAAACTACCTGATACTAGTAAAGGTTTCATTTTTACCTGAGTCTGCATTTTATCGGTTATTTAACAAAATACGGCTACACTAGCTGTTTAATGTAATGTGTTTTCTCTAACACAGGTCGGTCTGCACGTCGGTAAATGAAGTTGTTTGTCATGGAATCCCAAAAGAATCGCAGATACTAAAATTGGGTGACATTATGTCGGTGGATATATCAGTTTATAATGGTTATGTCCATGGTGATGCTTGTCACACCTTTGTAGTTGGTGTGGATAGTTACTCTGATTATTGTGATCTGGAAGCTGGTGCACGGATAAAAACTGCTGTCTACTTGTGCACTGTTGCTCAAAAGTGCCGTGATGCTGGTATCAGTGTTTGCGGCCCAAATGCTCTTTATACATCTATTGCGGAAGCAGTCACGAAATGCGCCGATGCATTTCAGTGCCGGGTTGTGGTAGGCGTATGTGGACATGGAATCGGTCCATTTTTGCATGGACCACCAAAAGTAGTACATTCAATCCATGAGTTAGCTTCCCAACCACTGGCACGTATGCTACCTGGACATACGTTCACCGTTGAACCATGTATTTCTCTTCCTCTCAACAAGTCTGGGGTAAAATTCAAACGGAACACAAGTTTCGCAGTTCCTGTTATCTTGGAAGATGGATGGACAGTGGTCACTAGTGACAAAGCTTTGACAGCTCAGTTTGAACATACCATTTCAATTACAAATGAAGGTTGCATAATACTAACGTGATTTATAGTGTTTTTTTCTTTATCAATGAATTCATTCTGTTGTTGCGTTGTTGAAGCTGATCTATGACTCAATAATTTTTATATTTACTGGTACATAGCTTAATTTTACTCATTTGTATTTTAGAAGCGATACTCGAAAGTATACTACTTTTGCATACAATTCGCTTCTATGGTAATTTGTGTTTCAACTGTCCCAAAGGAGATTTTTCCACGTATTACTAGTTTGACATTCTACAGATTATCTAGGTATTCCTAACCACTCAAAGTGCATAGTTCACATATATTTGTAATCATTCAAAAAAGGTGGATATCTTGTATTTAGCCCGAACGACGAATTTAAAGTGATAATACTGTCTATAATTTTAAAAATATCAAATATAGAGAAATGGTTCGAGAAGCACCAATGGATTAACTCATTAAGAAGTATAAGATGGTGTTAATGCGTACGTTCTGGAGAGAGGGAAATAATGCATCTGAATTTTGATCCATATCACCCATCTCTAAGCATCGGTTATAATCATCAAGCTGAGTCCAGCTAGAGGTATAAACCTCTCCGACCACACGGACCACTCCGATAGTGACGTCACTAGTTAGTTCCGCACCTTAGCTTTCTAGCTCACCTAGTCCAAAAACTCGGTTTAGGCGCTGTCTAAAAATTCGTAATGCATGTCTCAACCAACCTAATCGACAAAGATTCACAACGAATTTGGGGTTTTCGCGTACTTCTCTACATGTGATCTTAGGTCTACTAAACAAAGACACCCATAACTAAATACTAGTAGCCCACACCTATATCTTGCCTTTAAAGACAATGTTTTATAGCCATAGAATAAAACTAAGCTGAGTGCTTTTCAGTACACTCATCCTTTGCTCAGTCATTCATAACCAACGTAGGATATATGTGATTTAGCCCCAGCAACCATTACACATGAGATGAATCTAATACGAGAAATGACAAATAATAGTAGTACCACTGGTCGATAAGAAAATTAAATTATACGGTTCGAGAAGAGAGGATGGGTCTAATGAGTAAGTATTAAGCAATAACACTGAAGTCCAGGAATTAGCGATGATAACTAGTGAGTTCATGAAATTCATTGTGGCAGGTTTTGAGCCATGTCACTCTATCCTGATTGGGGTTATCGTACGGATCTACATCAGGTAGCCTGTACTTATCATCGCTTCTCCGACCAATTAGTGGATCAATCCATAGAAATGTAGACCAAAGATATGTTCTTTTCATTTATAAAGTATAGTATTTAGTCAATAAATTCACGGCGAGCTGTGAAACTTAGTTTCTTCTGTTGCGTGCTCCGATTAAGCACTGAATGATCATGTCGATCATGCAGTCAATAAATGTCCAGTACAATGAATTTTTAGTTCCTGGTTCGTGCTGTTTTTCAATAGTGAAAATACGATTGATGTGGAGCACTCATATCCATGGTTAGATGTTGGATGTGGTAATTATTATATTCCTAAATATATCAGCCATGCCACGAGAAAACGTGTTGTGTCTTCAGATGTAAGTTGATATAACATGCTGCATTCGCCACTCAGAATTCCGGTTGTGATCTTTCTAACCCTCCTCTGCTATTCCAACTGTAGCGTAGCGTCCTTAACTGTCAATGATGATGCATTCTGACGAAGACAGAAAACGTTGAGCAAGCCTAATCCACACTACACCTGGTGGCCTATCTGCAAATTTTAATCTATTACTATACTTGGGTCTAGAGTTGAGCTTTTATTATATTTAATCACACAGCATAGCAGCCATCTCATATATTCATTAGATTATACACACGAATTTTTAGACCGCTTAGCACACCAAGCAAGAAATCACACTTTGTACACAATCATGTTATAATTAGCAGGGGGTAAAGCAGACAGTAAGTAGTTACTTAGCAATGACTAAGGAGTAGTAAAATGTGTGAAAGTATCTAATAGGTCCATTCGAAGCTTATAATAAGTAGAATATGGGGATACACCGATGCAGTTACCTTATTATACAAGAAGAATATAAATAATAATCTGTAGGATGTGAGTTTGTGTGTGACAATGCCGAAGTAGGACTCCGTTTCAAGTAGAATAGGAATTAGTCAGAAACTTAATAATAAATATATTTTCGTGGTATCCCGGTGAGTCAGAAATGCAACTGGCTGTTCATTTGGATACCACGGAAATATATTTATTAATAATCTGTAGGATAGTTCCAAAGCTCCTAAATTTTTAAATACTCGTTTCACAATGACATAAAGATTCTATTCATCAGTACCAACGCAGAAATAGGCTTTTGAAATACCAATCACAAACACGGCGCTGTATATTGCAGTGTAGTTTTTATTCAGTTCTACTGTTCACTGCGTTGCTTACTACCTACAAATCAGTTTATTCCACAATCTTTTACTAAGTCTTGTGGTGTGTAATAAGTCAAAATGCATGCTTTTTAGTCTTTGTCAAAACTGTGTTCGAATACAGCTTCCTCAACAAAAAGATTGTTAACTGGTTTACTAGGTTTCGCCGTACTTCCAATAGATCAGACCTTATACTCTATGTAAATAAAATTCCCTACAGATTTCATCCACAAAATTTCAGTGGAGTATTAAAGACTTTCATACAAATATAAGCACTTAGGTTCATATATATGTATATAACTGAAACAACCTGGGAGACGTTTTTTCACACAGCACACTTGATCAATAATCAATACTTTCAGTAACAGAGGCTTCCTTCTTACACACTTCCAGCTCTTTGTTCTAAGGTTTATCACTTATAACGAAATAAACCAATCGTTCCATTAAAAAAGACGATTCTGCGAGGAAAAATTCCTGTCTTTTCAAATGAAGTTATTTGATAAAGCCCAAGCACCGCACTTATAGTTAATCAGTACGTATAAATCTATAATAAAACAGACGAATATTGAATCATCTAAAAGATGGTTAAATGTGTTTTCCGGTATCTGGAAATTGCATAATCGTGGCTTAAAGAAATTAAATATGGAAAATAGTTGCCAACGAAAAGTATATGAAAAACTTTAAATATGTAATGAGATTACGTTAAATTATTTAGAAATATCAAAAGCTGCTGAGTTGAAGACATTTATAAAAGAGAAATGAGAGCTCACTTGGTGAATATTGAGAATAGGGTACTCAGTTTTTGTGACAATAAGTCGTTGTTAATTATATAAAAACAAAAGTACGTGTAATAGATTATTGAAGGTAGGAGTAGTGTTATAATCACTGTGAGATGAGATATTAGACATGCTGCTTTTGTATACAGACTAGGCTGGAATAAATGAGTTACTAAGTCCTCGGGCGTACATAACTTTCCAGGACATCTTTTTCAACGACGTCTTTTGACTTTATAAATGACTCCAAAGAACAATTTTGGAGAAGAAACGTGAACAGAATCTGCGAAGTATTTCAGGATTAAGTTATTAATTGTCTTGGCTCATAATTTAACACTTGGGCAGTCATTTTTTGGAGACCCGCCTCAAAAGCTTCACTTTGTGTAGCTGAATTAACCTCCTTTATAAGAGTGATTAGGCCTAATGATTTGCAGTACCTCTCTATAAAATATCAAATCAAAGACTGACTCCAGAATATAACACAAAGTTCAAGCGGGTAGGATGTTCCTCACAAGAATCTCGAAAATCCATTTTTTAGAATCCCTTTTTCAGTATCTTTATTAAATTCAATCCTTTTGAAGAATATCTATCTCACTGCAGGCGTTTTTTTCATATTACTATTTCATCTTAAGATTTCTCTTAGTAAGTCTACGTATTTATTTTTTTGAACACAAATATTGGTACAAGAGGGCACCAAATATATATGTGCCACACAAAACAATAAGAATTCGAAGAGAAAAGAAGAAGGTAAGGAGCTAAAAAAAAGGAAAAACAACGAACAGATTCGTGTAAGGAAGTGTGATAATAATGGGTGATACGGAAAGGTACAACCAAAAAAATTCCTTCAGTTAAGGAAGATACAACCATTTTTTATGAAGAAAGTAAAATAAAGTTACAGCAGGATATCCACTGGCTTCTATTCTGAGCCATATCTGACAACGTCTCTAGCAACTGCGTTGCACCATCTCTAGGACCCCAGCCAGCGAGTTGTGAAGGACCAACAGAGGCCAGCCCTTCGCAGCTTTCTTCCATACCATGGCACCATGTCTTACACTGACCACATCTCTACTTTTTCCAACCAGTCCCAGCGTCGGCAGATAATGCACGACGTGTAATTCTCTGGGACAACATTCGTAGAATATTTCCAAGTCACTGAAGTCGATGTTTCCAGATGGTGACACACGATGCCGAATCTCTGCATTACTAACATGGTGTTGCCGCTGAATGTCAGCAATCCTTCAGAGACAGCGATCAAACACAGAGAGTCGTGTAACATCCTCAACTCGGAGAGGCCAGGTTTCACAAGCATAGATCAAAACTGCTCTCACCGACGCGTTGTAGATTCGAACTTTTACAACCAGACTAACATCACGAAGGCTCCAGAGATGGCCCAAATTGGCATAAGCCGCTCTGGCTTTCACCATACGTGCATTGATCTCATCACTCACGCCACCACCAGCACTTATGCAGCTACCCAGATAGACGAACTTCTCGACTACTTCTATCTGCTCACTATCCAGGGTGAGTACAGGATTAGAATCCTGCCAGTCTTTTAGAAGTACTTTGCACTTCGAAGGTGCGATGCACATGCCGTACCTACAGACACTGATTGCCAACTGATTAAGTGCGGATTGCATGACTTGGGCATTATCGCACAGTCAGACAATATCATCCGCGTACTCAAGGTCGAGAAGTCTTTCTCACTCTGCCTGAGGTGTTTGCATATAGGGCCTTTAGGATATTAATAAACTTCTCAGGCACACTCTTCTTCACTAGACAATTCGAGAGAACAGCCCTGTCCAACGAGTCGAAGGCAGCCCTGATGTAAAGAAACACAACGATTATTGGCCGGTGTTAAGTATGACGGTGTTCTAACATTTGGCGGAGGCCGAAGATATGATCAATACATCCTCGACAAGAACGAAAACCAGCCAGCTCCTTGCGAGTCAATTTTTCTCGGGTTTTGAACAACCTACGAAGTATGACGTAAGCCAATAGCTTGGACGCAATCGGAAGTAGACCTATCTCCCGATAGTTGTTACAGGAACGAAGTGAACGCTTTTTAAAGATAGGGACAACTATCAACTCATCCCATGACGTTGGTACCCCCTCTAGATCCCAGACCCTTGCAAACAACACAGTCAGTTCCTTAGCCAGAAAGTCACCACCATCTTTAAAAAGAGCCGGAGGTAAGTCATCTGGACCCGGTGATTTTTAGCTCCTCAAGAGTTGGAGTTCCTTGTGGGCTTCCGCCTTATTTGGTGGATCAGTCGTCACTGGCCATAGAGGGCAGGGCAGTCTGATCGATGTTGCCGGAGCAGCAGGCCAGTTGAACTGCCCTCCGGAGAATTCCGCCCATCGTCCAAGACGTCGACGGATGTTAGTGGTTGGTATCCCGTTATTCTCACAGATAGTTTCGCTGACACCAGACTTCTTGCTGCCAGTGGCTCAGATGAAATGGAAGAGCTTCCAGTAGTTACCACATGCAGCTGCTACTTCCAGGCTTCTCGGTCCTTACGCAAGCTTTGCCCAATTTCGCTACGTAACAACCTTCGTTTGTGGTCAAACTCACGGTTACCCGGAGTAGATCGACGGGCTTTGATGAGTTGTAAGGAACCTAAAGAAACCCAGTGCTTATAAACAGGACGTTTTGCGATGCCGCAGGCGGCTTTACTCGCTATTTTGTAGGCGTCGTGAAGTTGCAACCAATGCTCATCTATACTTTTCGGTGGAATGTTAGCTAGCCTAGATGCTAGCTCGGTTTGATACTTACTTGCAACGGAAGTTGCAACCAACTTGCTGACATCAATCCGTTGGTGGCGGTCACTTCGTTAGTCACTGAAAAGTAAGGTAAGATAGGCGTAGACCAGGTCGTGATCAGAGTCCATATAGGTACTTCAAAAGCAGTGGCAGTCTTGTACATAACCACGCCAGCGGTAGCTGATCGCGATGTGATCAATCTGAGTCCAGGCTTGGGATGCAGAGGTAGGATGCCAGGTGGCACATCGGCGATGACTGTGCCGGAAGTTAGTGCTAGCCAGAAACAGGTTGTGGTCTATGCACAGTTGCAGTAGACGGTCCCCGTTATCTTTCCTGCGACCAGCAAGTACCCATCGGCCACCTAAACGACTCTCTTCTGTGCCTAGACGCTTGACCTGAGCACTTAAGTCTCCGTCTGGTACTACAATATCTGTCGAACGCACTTTCTGGAGAAGAACAGATAACTGGTGGTAGAATTCATCCTTGATTTCATCCGGGCTGCAATCTGTCGGGGCATAGGCGGAGATGACGAAAAGACATCGTTTCTCACGCCGATTTCTTCTCACTTTGATGGAACTTTCTAATCTAACAGCACATAACCGGCTGTTAATGGGGGTACAGTCGATTAGTTCTGCCTCAGCTCTGGCGCTTAGTCCGACACTAACGCCAGCAAGACCAGACGAAGATGCCACAGGGTCCCCGGATAAATGCACGTGAAACAAGCTTTTTGAAGCGACAGACGGTGAGCGAATTTGCAGTACTTCACCAAATTCTTGAATACGGGTCTCGGATAAACAACAAACGTCAATATTAAGACTTCCCAAAGACCATAGTTAGCCCTATCTGTTGTCCGAACTGCATAAGTGTGAGAACGTTGAAGGCAGCCAGTTTGAATGGTGCATGTCGTTTCAGAAAAACTGCTTCAGTATTCGTATTTGGTGGTAGCATACAATTTTCAACCGGGCAGTGACTCGAGAACGTTTGGATAGAACCAAGTTTCCACCATAGGCGAGCTGCTGTATAAGTCGAAAAATAAGGATACACTGAGTGGGAATAAAAGAGAGTGTATAAATGACGTAAATAATAATAATAATAACAATAATAATAATAATAATAATAATAATAATGCAAATCGTTTGATTGTTAATGGAAGCAAGACAAGTATTTTCCATAAATATCGACATTCCATTATGTTTGTGTGTGGGCTGTGATACTGCCCGGGTGCCCAGACAGAAGCGGGTGATTTTCTTAGGGAGCCACACCCCAAACCTTTGACCTAAAGGTCTGAACCACAAGGCAGTGGAGCATTGTGAGGAGATGCAGTCCCACAGTAGCCAGTGGCCAGCGATTGGTTCATACGCCATTTGTTCCTGCAGTATACTGGAGCCCATGTGGACCATTGGTTTGGGATCCGGTTAAAGCGCCGGACACAAGGTTTTCGTCTTCTCATTTTCGTAAACTAAATCTACGTGGATAACCACTATTGGTAATTATCTGCTAGAACTGCATTAGTTTGACGAAGATTGTGTCGTCAGTATCAGTTCTTCTGAATTAAAGTGAGTCAGTTTCCTTTTCTGCCCAATGGAAGCCAGCTTTAAAAATTAGTGTACCAACTGTTTCACTTTGGCTCGGGATAACCGATGGAAATGGTTTAAGTTGTTTAAAGAGATCGTGACTAATGACTGAAACATCTGTCATCTTTTACGGAACATTTGTCAGGCTTTATTCAGTCTGTTTAGTCGTATATTTTGAGTACTGTCTTTAGAAAACTTGGCTATCTGATAGCACGAAAAAAGTTTTGTGATGTGTTCTAGACGATTATAATTAAACCAACACATTTATCTGGTCCAGTGATAACCAGGTGTTTAGTTCTCACAGTATCAGATAATTGGGTTTCGTGTTCATTTGAAATTAAGCGTCTATTTGTTGGCCTTTTATTTACATATTGATTTCAATAGCACACAATGGTAATTTTAAATTCTTCAAGATGCTTGTTTGGATAAGATTGTCTGTTCAGTGAATTAAATGTACGCACTGGATTTTACCGTTGCGTTCGGTGGGTTGTCAAGATGTCTCAAAACTTTTTTCAATATACGTCTATATAGAGGACGATAATTTTGGTAGATTTGGTTATGGCAAACCGTTTTCCTCTCTATTTCATGTGCATGAGGCTAAAATAAGTTGATAGTCGAAGACTTACTTGTCTGATAGTAAGTAATGAGCTATTAGAGAGGCTTGAAGAACGTTTAATTTTGTTCATGAGGCGCTGGTAGGGTTATTTGAATCGCAAAGTATTTCAAAATGATGCTTCAGTATTCCCCATGGATTAATAAATGAATGTTATAACTAGTGAAGAGCTTGTATTTTCTGGCAAAGACAGATAATAAAGTTTCCACATGCAAGGTCTCACACAATAGGCAACAAACTACTACTCGTCGTCCGACACTTTTTATAAAATTCGTTGATCAAAGAGTTCGTCATCAAACTGATTTTATACTAGAAATAAGATAAGAAAATATGGACAAATACATTCTCTATCATCCTGATGATACGTGCGCCTATTCAAAGTGGCAGACTTGAGATGTTTATCATAGACCATCCCTTTTGGCGCTGTACACACTATGTTTCAGTCATACTACTAATCTTAGTATTATTGTCAATCTATGAACAGAACAGGTTTATTTATTACAAAGACATACCAAAAAACATAATCTTGAAAATCTGCTTGATCAGAAGAACTGTTTCTTTAAGTGTTGTTTTAGAACTCATAGATTGCCGATCATTTTTAGTACAGCACCAAAAATAAACAGTTTCTGTTGTTTTACATAACCATCTTAATAAAATATTTAACGTCGAACTTCATTATATTGTAGTGAATCTGTACCCACTGGCCTCCAGTTTTATAACTACCCTGAATTCCGAATGTTTGACAGGTGGTGCACTGAAAATAAATTCAAAAACATGGTGAATATGCAGTTACCGTATTTCGTGACAAAGAAGCTGAGTCTTATGAGCAAGTCCAAAATGCGATAGTCAACTTCAACCTAACTATACTTATGAGTGATAGATTAAGTAGTAAATTTAACAAGTGACTGAATATCAAGATAACTAATTCTTTCTTATTATTTCACCCTAACTACAACTGAAATTATACGAATCTCGTGTTCAAATAAACTTCTTTAGACAGCATTTCTAAAACCATTTCTCTGGAACATCTTGACTCAATATTCTTCATTTGGGTTTTGGCAAGACGGTTGGTCCAAATAATCTTATACGATAATAAATTAATTTCGCGTCAATGGGCACGTAAACGTATACCGTATTTAAAAGGTGTTTTCAATGACCTTGATAACTCTGCAGTTCAGTAAAACAAAACAACGTGTGTGAAACTATCTGCTTTTTTGTACACACGTATTTTTTCTTCATTTTTAGTATATTTGAGCGTCAAAGTTTTTCACTATTACTTAAAAAAATCTTACTAGTTTAACAGCTTTTTATCTGATTGGTTACTGGTAGACACTAAAGTTATGTGTATTTTCAGCACCACTCTATCCTTAATATTATACTGACATGTTTTTAAACATTGATAATTACAAGCATTTGTAACTATTGTTGTTAACTACCATTTCGAATGTCATATTCTAACATAAATAATCCTACCTTGTCGCGCTCTTTTGAGTCTACTAATGACAACTTTCGCTCAAGATCAAACTCTCCGGCGCATACTATTAGAAGCAAGACTGGTAGCGCGTTTATTCAAGATAGTCATAGCATTAGTAGTACAAAGAGCGTCAAATCATACCCTAGGAAAGGAACAACACTTGCGAATGCTAATCTTACTGTTGAAGAACAAAATCATTTGGAAGAAGTGCTTTCACGCTTCGATAAATTTCGGCAAATTGAAGACAAACGTGTGAAGTAGGTATACTTTTTTAAAATCCCTTGGTTTTTATCAGCTTTATTATCACTAAACCAGTCTTGGTGATGTATCCATTCTACATTTTACGTTTATTTATTCCTCAAGATAAAAATGGTTTTACATATTGAAGTAAAATATTTAACGAATTGATTGGTTCCCTGTCTATTCGTGTAAACTTTCTGTGATATCCATGGTTTTAGGCTGAAGGCATTTTTTTTATTTAGTTTATCTAATTTTGTTTCATATTTCTAGCAGCACAATGACCGTAACAATTCGCTGACCATCATGTAATAATCTCCTTGACATTTTCCATTATTTCTTGAAGATAAATTTTATCATACATTTGGTGTAGTTTTCTTCTATGTTATGTCGAAAGGTTCATATTTCAGAATAATAAACGCAGAAGCCGATAGATGATAAATCATTCTAGATTGTCGACAGATTTAAATTTTAATTATTGGTACAATTTCAGTTTATATGATTCACGTTGGGAACTATTTTAAATCCATGAAATCCCCACTTTTCAAAGATGAATTGTTGTTAATCGCGTTAAATATAACAACAACATATTCAAGCAATTATCTAGGTTGACAAATAAAATTCATTTTATTTACCATTTATCGCCAACAAAATATGGTGTTGTTTCTTAATGATCCTCGGTCACTTGTCATACTATCAAGGTGTTTTTCTAGTTAAAATAAATTCATCTTTGAGCTAATCATTTTATTTTAGCTGTTAGTTCGACCTGTTTATTCACGAGGTTCGTAATATTCAGAAACTATTAGATTTTGACCTTGCGTAGAAGTGACAGCTAAATTCGAAATTATTTCGAAGAACAGACCTTATCAAATATAATTAGGCATGACAGTGGAATCAAGCACTTACTCTAATCCAACCGTTTTATGTTTATTTTATTGTCTAAAATTTATATTAGTTATCTAAGAGATATTAAGTCTTGATCAATGCGCCTTTGAAGAGATCATTAAGATTATTTCTTAATGAACAGATCCGTGTATCGAAAAGGATAGCAGCCTATTAATAATCCATATGAAGAGATTTAAGGAAACTGAGTATTTGTAAGGACAAATGGAAGATAATGAAAAAAACTAGTAGTTAACCAAAAAACGATGTCAAAGTAGGCACACGCTTCATGAACTGCTTTCACAGTGTTTCACTTTTTAAAGTTTGAATATATTACTGTCGCAATATTGATTTATTGTACATTTTTATACAATTTAGCTCTTTCACTAAATGACATACATCAATCAATTACCCATTATCTATCCCGGTTTTGATAGACTACTCGATTTGCCTTTTATTTTTGTTAAAGAAAGAAAATATATATAATTTACAAAATGAAGTAAATCTATGAGATTTTTCTATTCCTATTCTGTAACAATTAGGCGGTATTTTGGACATCGTTTATTTGAGTTCTGATAAAACCAACGTTTTCTTCTAACTTTACTGAACATCTCAATAATTCGAAAATTGCTTATCATTAAATAGTGTCTCGTATAAATTAAAATGAATAAATGTCTATGTATTATCACCTTACGGTTTTACTAAAGGTTATCAGGAAACGTTATTATTTTGGGAGATAGAAATTTAGTCCAGTTGTCAATTTAAAGGATATTGAGTAAGATGTTAGGTTACGTTAAGGAATGTAAAAAGTCAATAGAGTCTGTCTTATTCTGCTATAAAACACCATGAAAGAGTGTTGCAACTAAAAATGAAAATTATAGAGGTTAATTTGTCAGTATCACTTTCAAGTTGATAAGATAATTGCAGCAGTAAAATAAAGTATGACTCAATCAGTTGGGTATTAATTTTCAAATAAAAAGTTCAGAAATAAAGTTAGTACATGGTTAGTTTGAAAATACTTTTTTTTATTAGCGCTAATTCTGTAAAATTAATCTTTTGGTGTTCAATAGCATTCAGTGAATCTAAAAGTTTGCATATTTGTCAGCTTAAGTATTGGACAAAACACACCGACCACTGAATTCATTTATATTTTAGACTCCTTGAAATCAAAATAACATAAACGCACACCCCTGGTTTGTTCATATTTTGATAAAAAGTTTTACGGGATAAAGTTTTTTCGAAGTTATCGTCCAACGTTTTCGTTTATTCAACTATTTTTACATTTATGGCTCACATAACGGACTGGCTATAGTTAGGCAACCATTAAAAAATTAGGCAGTGTTTGAAAACTTTCAGCCCATTAAAGGAATCCTCATTAGTGTGCATTCGCAAACTGAAGACCGAACTCAGGATTTCTTGGTCTCATAGCATGCTCCTAAACATTTAGACTAAGGAATCGGGACCATATGATTCACATTCCTAACTTTGACTAGTTCTATTTTGCTTCACTAGTTATTTAACTCATTAATATGCATAAGATATTTAAAGGTCGGTAATCCCAACCGATGGCTAAATTTATTATTACTTGCAGCTGTGTAACTGGCTTCATTATGCCGAAGATGATCGCGTTTAAAAGTAAACATTAATACTTCTGTACTACCAATATTACTACCATTACTATTGTTAATTTTCATATCAATATGAAGAGCTATTAGACAACAATATATTTGGATTTCTTAATAAAGTCATAGGAACTTAAGGTAGTAAAATCTCATCTAAGTTTTAGATTGTTTTCAGTATGCATTCGTCTCTATTTTATATTTTTGCATTCATGAATGTATCTTTCCGATCTCTTATTAACGTTTGACTTTTATCCAAGTTTATAGGATATTTAAAATGTTCGATTAACTTGTGGTGTCTTTTTTAATGACACAACAATTTTCTATCTTATTACAGGCTATTATGTGTAAAATAACCATAAATATGATCACACAGTTTAATAAATGATGTCTTCGAAAATGAGACTTTATTCGCTGAACTATTTTTATTTTATTTGATGACTCCATAGGTTTCTAGTGTATTAATTGTAAACTGAAATTAAAACGAGTAAACTCGGACTAAATATTTTTCAACAGAAATAATTGTACCTTTGGGGGTAAAATTTTGTTATACAATAAATTCAAATTGTTATAGGTCGATGCACGCAACTGGCTAGTGATATTCGAGCCTGATTTACTTCTCATTAATATTGTAAGTTTAGACAACCATATTGGATGTTTGAATTTAGGTAAGGTTTGAAGGACTAGATCACTTTTACAGATATACAATGATTAAGTACCGACAACTGATATGATTTACAATTTTCGTTTAATTATTGGATACTGTTTAATAATTTACTTTTCAATTGCATAGATATTTAATTCGATAAAATTTAGGTAATTAACCTTATTCAACATACTTGGTTTGGATTAGGAGGGATCGGTTAATGATTATAATGGTCTAGTGTATATCAAAGATTTTGTAAGATTATTAAGTAGAATTAACTTTTCTAACTGAATTACAATTGGATATTTCAATAAGTTGAGCGCACACACGTCAAATGCGCTTACTAAAATTATGTTTTCCTTCCTTTATATACACCTGGAAATATCGATATTCATCCAAGCATATGAGAACGTTTGATTCTATAAGTATTTTAGTTCCATGTTTTTGTTGTTGCATTTTACATTAATTATTGTATGAAAGTGATATACTAAAAAATTATGTCATTCGGTAGGAAATATACATTTTATGATTTAAGATAGCAGCACTAATTACGGTAATGATGGAAATTATTATTCTTGTGACCAATGAATTACGGAAATTTCTTTTCTAGTAAGTTATATATATATATATATATATATATATATATATATATATATATACGGTGTATTTACTGTCTAAAATTCTATTACATACAATCTTTTATACATCAAAAGTTTGTAACAAAAAATTGTTTCTTCTGCAACTTTTCTATTCTCAAGTCACAGTTAATATGTCATAATTATTGGGTAAGTCATCTAGGGTAGGTAAAATGCAAGTATGTTAATTCATAAACAGTGATAGATTTCATCACTAGGATTGAATAATCCATTCAGCTTGAAACTGGAGATTGTCCAAACTAATGGTGGTTTATTTGATTACGTAATTAATAAATCACTACTGAATGTGATACTTATTGGTATAATTGGATGATTCCTCTTTCGACGTTTTTAAAATGTAGTCCTTTCAACTTCAAGTAAGTGTATTCATTCTGTTATCAGTATGACTTTCTTATCGTTAACTTTTAACTTAAGAAATAAATTCTCTAAATTGATGTCTAACAAAATACAAGGATATAATAGATGTGTTTGTACATGTTAGTTAGTCTACGAAATACAGTATTGTGATGGCTACAGTCTAGTTGAGGTTGTTCTGAGTGCATAACATAAGTAAGCTAGCTAGTCATTACCATAAATTGAAAATATAGAATTTCGCACCGACCGTGTCTTAAATACGAACAAAATTCATTATTAGTAAATTTAGAAAAAAGTCATACAAGAAGAGATAAAAAACTTTTATGCCTGGTGATGAGTTTTAATCAATAGGTTAAAATTATACATAAAAAATCAATACAAAAGAAGAATCGTTTTGTTTTGGTTACCGTGATTATAATTATAATAATAACAATAATTACTAGTAAAAGTTAACTGCAAAATTATAAATACGAATGTATTATTCGGAACAGGAATATCTAATAGGAAGGAGTACAAATCTTCATGATAGTTATTTTAATAAATTTATTACATCATCATAATGTTATATGACTTGCTATATCACCTTCGAAACATACTTAAGAGTAGGGTCTTCTTTTTGACTGTGACAGTTTGTGTCTTGCTTTTAAACTGAGGTACATAATTTTTTGTAGAATTAATAGGGTATCCATTTTGCATCGGATAGTAGTTACAAAGTGGATATTAATCGTGTGTTTGGGTAGATACCTATTCAGTTTCTCTGTTGAAATTGATATCGCTATGCTCCTTTCTTATGGTTGTTTGCATATAAGTTTGATGGTTTATGTCAGTGGAACCTTTGTGAATAACTATTTTATACCTAATGA